GCCCAGGGGCTCCCGATGGTGCCAGACCTACCTGCCCCCCTGTACCCTTCGCAGCTCCCCCTCGCCCCTGCGCCGGGGGCTGTGCTGGAGCTGGAAGTGGGGTTCCTTCTCTTTCAAGACCTTCAGGTAGGGCAGCAGTGGCTCGTCCCCCCCATCATCCCCCCGCCACCGCAGCAGGCAGAAGCTGAGCGGTTGTCCCTTCAGCTTCTGCAGCACAGCCCCAGCCTGGAGGGAAGGGGGGAAGCAGAGGGGAGGATGGGGAGCAGAAGAGGGGGAGACGGGGGGGAACACGCCAGCCCTCCGTGCCCACCCACCTGCCCAACGTAGGCATTTCGCAGCGAGAAGCCATTGATCTCATCCCCCCGCCACCGCAGCAGGCAGAAGCTGAGCGGTTGTCCCTTCAGCTTCTGCAGCACAGCCCCAGCCTGGAGGGAAGGGGGGAAGCAGAGGGGAGGATGGGGAGCAGAAGAGGGGGAGACGGGGGGGAACACGCCAGCCCTCCGTGCCCACCCACCTGCCCAACGTAGGCATTTCGCAGCGAGAAGCCATTGATCTCATCGAGGACGTCACCAGCCAGCACCACCTCGTCCACCTCCGCCTGGCTCTCAGGGAGCACCTCGGTGATGAAGACTCGGCCGTCCACATACCTGGAGGTGCAGCCGAGGCCCAGCTCAGCCCCAGGGACCCATCCTGGCTCCCCCAGCCCTTTTGTACCACCAGTGGTGTTTCACCAATACATGGAGGCAGGGAAAAGCCACCCCACAGACAGCAGATACCAGCGAGGCCGAGCTGATGGGGAGAAAAGCACTCGAGACAGCCCCGATGCTCTCAACGGGGCATTTATCTCCCCTTTTTGGGGGGTTTTGAGTGCTGTGGTGTCCAGATCCCACTGGAGAGTGGAGAGGAGGATCAAGGGCTCCTACCTGAGCGCCATTCCCAGCACTCGGCATGGGACCGTCTCGTAAGTGATGCACACCTGGAAGAGAGTGGCCAGTGACAGTGGCCCTGGCAATGGCCACAGGATGCCCAAGGACCATGAGCAGGACGAGAAGGATGGAGACTGCTTGCCCTGAATCATTTCTGGCACTGATGCCGAACCAGGGTGTGGGGAGCCCAGGGACAGACTGGGCCCCAGTGCCCCAAGCTGGGCTGGGACCATCAGCAGCTGCTCATCCCTGTCCTCTCCTGGGATTTTACTATGCCCAGACCCTGCAGGGACAAACCTCCTAGATGGACAGGATGCCGAAGCAGCAGGTGAACCTTTAACTCAGCAATGAGCCCTTCTCCCTTGCCCCACGCATCCCCACGCAGCCCGGGGAGCACTGCCACCCCTCCCAAAGCTGCTGCCATTTGCAGCAGCACTTACTGTCACATCGCATTAGCCAGGGACCCGAAACGCGGTCACTTTGGCCAGGACCAAAGTTTGCTGTTGGAGATGCCCAAAAGCCAGTGGGATCTCAGCCTCTGCAGCAGC